GATGATAATGATAACAGCAATAACAACAATAGCGATATGAATAGCAATAGCATTAACAAAAACGCAAAAAAACAAACAAAACAAAAACAATAAAAACAGTAATAATCGGCTGGCATGGTAACTGCTATGCCCGACCCAGTGAATATTCATTAAACAGACATTCATATATACAGAAATAAATACTTATTTCTGTGTATGCATGTCCGCATATGTTACCATTCGTTGGGTTGGGCCTCACACAATTGTAGTGATAATGATGACAGAATTATTAATAATGATAACAATAATAGTAATGATAATGATGATATTACTATTATTTCTAATACCACTTCTAATGAAAATAATGATAATGATAGTGATGATTATGATAGTGATGGTAATAATAATGATAATAATAATAATAATAATGATAGCAATAAAACGATAGTGATAACAATACTACTAGTACTACTACAACTACCAATAGTGATAATGATAATAATGATAATTCGATGATAATAATCATAATAATGATAGTAATATTAATAATAGCGGTAATGATAATGATTGTGAAAATAATGATAATGACAGTAATAGTAATAATGACAGTGACAAAATGATGATTATGATGATAATAGTGATGATACTACTACTAATAACAATAATGATAATGATAATGTTGATAATAATAGTAATGATGTCATTACTTCTGCTTCTACTACTACTGCTACTACTAATGTTGATAATGATAATTATGATAATAGTAATGATTATGATAGTGATCAAGATTATAAGGATAATGATAATAATGATAATAGTACTGATAGTAATAGTAATGATATGGATATAATAACAATAATGATAATTTGATGAAATGATCATAATGATAATGATAATAATAATGATATTTGTGATAATAATAATAAGTGATAATGATGATAAAAATGATAATAACGATAATGATAATAACAATAGTAATGATAATGATAGTGATAATGATAATGAATATAATGATGACAATGATGATAATTAAATCATAACAACGCCAACAATAATAATGATAATAACAATAAAAGTGGTAATAATAATGAAGGTAATGATAATAAAATAATCATGATAATTATTATTGGTCTTGTATATATATATATATATTATATATATATATATATATATATATATATATATATATAGGCTACCACGATCACGACCATGGTAATTATAATGATAATGATAATAACAACAATTCATAACTAATCCCTTTTCTTTTTTCCCCATAATCCACAGGTGTCTGCATGGGCGTGGGCGGCCGTGGTGGCGGTGCTGGGGGCGGCCGCCAGCGAGGAGCGGCTGCTGCACATCGGGGGCATCTTCCCCATCCGAGGCTCCGGCGGGTGGCAGGGGGGGCAGGTGAGGCCATCGCACACGCACACACACGCGCATACGCAGACGTACACACACGCACCGCACACGCATACGCAGGCACGCACACACGCACACGCACACACACGCATACGCACACGCAGGCACGCACACACACACACACGCACACGCACACACGCACGCACACATGGAGGGAAGGGGAGACGGAGAGCGAGATTGAGAAGGAGAAGGAAAGGGGGAGGGGGGGGGAGGGAGAGGGAAAGGGAGAAAGAAAGGGGGAGGCACACGCACACACGGAGGGAGAGGGAGACGGAGAAGAAGAGAAAGATGGAGAGAGGGAGGAGAGAAAGAGGGAGAGGGGGATGGAATAGAAAGGGAGAGGGAGAAAGAAAGGGAGTTAAAAAGGGAGAGGGAGAGAGAAAGGGAAAAGGCGAGAAACTTTTTTACCATATTGCCCTGCTTGAACAAGAGGTTATATGTATTTATTTCATACACACAAACACACGCATGTGAAATTGATACATGTCTGCGGTGACAGAAACAAGAAACGTATTTTTAGACCAGATAGAGAGCGCCGTGGGAAGCTGAGCGATTAGTGGTTCAAAAAATGAACTCGTATCTCTATCTACCTCCCTTCCTCCCTCCTCTCTCTCTCTTTCTCTCTTTCTCTTTTCTCTCTCTTTCTCTTTCTCTTTCTCTTTCTCTTCTCTCTCTCTCTTCTGCTCTTCTCCTCTCTCTCTCCTCTCTCTCTCTCTCTCTCTCTTTCTCTCTCTCTCTCTCTCTCTCTCTCTCCTTTCTCTTTCTCTCTCTTGTCTCTTTCTCTCTTATCTCTCTCTCTCTCTCTCTCGCTTCTCTCTCGCTCTCGTCGCTTTTCTCGCTCTCTCGCTCTCATTCTCTCTTCTCTTTCTCTCCGCTTCTCTCCTCTCTCTCTTCTCTCGCTTTCTCGCCTCGCTCCGCTCTCATCTCTCTCTCTTCTCCCACGCCATCTCTCTCCCTCTCTCGCTCACATCTCTCTCTCTCTCTCTCTCTCTCTCTCTCTCTCTCTCTCTCTCTCTCTCTCTCTCTCTCTCTCTCTCTCTCTCTCTCTCTCTCTCTCTCTCTCTCCACAAAACAAGCACTCCAGCCGAAACCTCTTACGTATAGCTGATGCCACGCCAGGAGGTTGTTCTGGAACCTCACCCAGACACGTGGACACCGCAGCATATTGTCCCAAGCTTTAAAGGGGAAATTTCGTTCGCTGGATACGTGAGGTATTGCGGCTCAAGCTTAGAGGCAGAAACGGAGCTTGAATATTCCAATGTTTCGAGTTATTCGAGCGGGTTCCGTTGTGTTATTCAAATGAGTTTTTCGAAGCGAGTTCCTTTGTGTTATTCATATGCTTCGAGTTATTCGAATGTTATTCAAATGCTTCGAGTTGGCCGAGCGGGTTCCGTTGTGTTATTCAAATGCTTCGAGTTGGCGAGCGAGCTTCGAGTTTTCCGTTGTGTTATTCATGCTTAAGCGAGCTTCCGTTGTGTTATTCAAATGCTTCGAGTTGGCCGAGCGACCGGTGTGTTGTGTTATTCAAATGCTTCTATTCAAATGAAGCTGTTGTGTGAGCGGGTTCCGTTGTGTTTTGTGGGTTCGGAAGCTGAGGACGTAAAGGAGGATGAGAATAAAAGATAATGAATAAAGCCAGATGATATTTCTTGTGAATCATGTACATCAAATATATTGAATATTTTTATATATGTTTATATGTATTATGCATACATATAACTATCTATCTATCTATCCATCAATCTATATATTATGCACACACGCATATATGTACACCACAACACACACACAACACACACACACACACACACACACACACACACACACACACACACACACAACAACCCACACACAACAACCCTCCCCCCCCACCACACAACCCCCCCCCCCTCACACACAACACCCCCATCCCCCCCCACACACAACCCCCATCCCCACACCCCCCCCACACCCCCCCACACAACCACTCCCCCCACACCCCCACACACACAACCCTCCCCCCCCCACACACACACAACCCCTCCACCCCCCACACAACCCCACTCCCCCACCCCCACACACACAACCCCCACCCCACACCCCACACACAACCCCCCTACACTCCCCATCCCCCTCACAACCCCCCCACCCCCACACACACAACCCCCATCCCCATCCCCCCACACACTAATTACACTCCCATCTTCCTCTCCACACGAATTCACTTAGTAAACCCGTGCCTCCCTCCCCTTCAGGCCTGCCAACCCGCCGCCATGCTGGCTCTGGAGGATGTGAACAATCGACCGGATCTCCTTCCTGGCTACAAACTCAACCTGGCGTGGAATGATTCTCTGGTAAGGGCGGTTTTTACGTTTATTTTGTGTGTGGTTTGCTCTTTACGGAGTTGGTGGTTAGGTAGTGTTTTTTGAAGTGTTTTTTTTTTCGATTTGTTTTGGTGTGTTTCGTCTTTTGTTTTCCCGCCAGTGAGCGTCTTTTGTTTCTGCGTATTTAATCCATTCATGTTTAAACTGCTTGTTCATATTTAGTAAATAGTTCATATTTAATCCCTTTGTTCATAATAAATCTATTTGTTCAGATTTAATCAGTTTGTTAATTAACCAATTTCATCATATTTAACCCATTTAACCCATATTAATCCAACTGCTCATATTTACCCCATTTTAACCCATATTAAATCCAATTGTTCATATTTACCCCATTTAACCCATATTAATCCAATTGTTCATATTTACCCCATTTAACCAATTAATTGTTCATATCTAATCTAGCTGTTCATATTTAATCTCTTTGTTTATAATTAATCTAATTCATAATTATTCTATTTGTTTATGTTTAATCTATTTGTTCATAGTTAACCCATTTGTTCAAATTTTAATTTATTTATTTGTTCATTTTTAATCAATTTGTTCACATTCAACCGCGCTTCCGTCCCTCCGCAGTGCGAACCGGGCCTGGGAGCGGCGGTGATGTACGACCTGCTGTACAATCCACCGACGAAACTGATGCTTCTTGGCGGTTGTTCCACCGTCAGCACGACCATCGGCGAAGCGGCAAAGATGTGGAATTTGGTTGTGGTATGTTGGGGGGTGGGTGAGTGGGGGAGGGGGTGGGGGTTGAGTGGGTGGGTTTTGGAGAGGTCTGTGGGTGGGTGTGGGGTGGTTTTGTGTGGGTGTGAGTGGTTTTGGGGAAGGTCTGTGGGTGGTGAGGATTCAGGGGCGTGTATATATTTAGTTGAAAGGGCGGGCACATATTTGATTAACGGGCGTTATTTGATTAAAGGGCGTGCACATTATTGATTAAAGGCGTGCACAATATTTGATTAAGGGCACATATTTGATTAAGGGCGCGTAAAGGATTAAAGGGCGTGCACATATTTGATTAAGGGCCGTGCACACAATTTGATTAAAGGGCGTGTATTTGATTAAGGGCGTGCACATATTTGATCGGGCGTGCACATATTTGATTAAAGGGCGTGCACATATTTGATTAAAGGGCGTGCACATATTTGATTAACGGGCGTGCACATATTTGATTAAAGGGCGCGTGCAATATTTGATTAAAGGGCGTGCACATATTTGATTAAAGGGCGTGCACATATTTGATTACGTGCACATATTTGATTAAAGGGCGTGCACATATTGATTAAGGGCGTGCACATATTTGATTAAAGGGCGTGCACATATTTGATTAAAGGGCGTGCAGCGTGCACTTATATTAAAGGCGAGCACATATTTGATTAAGGGCGTGCACATATTTGATAAAGGCGTGCACATATTTGATTAAAGGGCGCACATATTTGATTAGAGGGCGTGCACATATTTGATTAAAGGGCGTGCACATATTTGATTAAAGGGCGTGCACATATTTGATTAAGGCGTGCACATATTTGATTCAAGGGCGTGCACATATTGATTTGACACATATTTGATTAAAGGGCGTGCACATATTTGATTAAAGGGCGTGCACATATATTAAAGGCGTGGCACATTTGATTAAAGGCGTGCACATATTTGATTAAAGGGCGTGCACATATTTGATTAAGGGCGTGCACATATTTGATTAAGGGCGGCACATATTTGATTACATATTTGATTAAGGGCGTGCACATATTTGATTAGAGGGCGTATTTGACACATATTTGATTAAGGCGTGCACATATTTGATTAAAGGGCGTGCACAATTTGATTAAAGGGCGTTTTGATTCCTTGCCTGAGACTAATTAATGATGAGGATGATTAAATTTGTTGTGTTTAAAAAGTCTCATATTTTTAGATTTTTGAAAAATAACTCTGGTTTTCTTACTCCTTTTCCTACACTCGTCCTCTTCCTTCTCCTCTTACCCCCTTCACTCTTTCCTTCCCCAACCTCCTCCCTTCTTCTCCTCCACCTTGCCTCCCCCTCCCCTTTATCCACTGATCCTCCTCTTCCTTTAATCCCTCCTCTCTCTCTTTCCTTTCACAACCTTCCCTTCCCTCCCTCCCACCTGCCTCTCCCTTCTTCCTTCCACACCATTCCCCTTCCTCCCACTCCCTCTTTCTCACTCCCTTCCCCTTTCATCACACTCCTCCCACCTCTCTCACCTTCCCCCCATCCCACCTTCCTCACCCCCCCCCCATTCTCAACCCTCCCCCTTTCTTCGTCCCCTCCCTTTCTTCGTCCCTCCCCCTTCCTCACCCCCTTCTTCACCATCCCTCCCTTCCTTCCCCCTCCTCCTTCTTCACCCCTCCCCATCCCCTCTCCCCTTCCTCACGCCCCATCCACCCTTCCTCACCCGCCCCCTCCCCCATCCCCACCTTCCTCATCCCCCTCCCCCTCTCTCACCTTCCTCCCTCCCCCTCCAGCTCTCCTACGGGTCGAGCTCCCCAGCGCTGGCCGACAGGAACCGCTTCCCGACCTTCTTCCGCACGCATCCCTCGGCCACGGTGCACAACCCGCTCAGGATCAAGATCATGCAGAAGTACGACTGGGCGCGCGTGGCCATCCTCCAGCAGGCCGAGGAAGTGTTCATCTCGGTGAGGGCTTGTGTGTGTGTCTGGGTGCGGGGTGCGGGGGGGCGGTGGGGTCTCTGGAGAGATGTTGGGAGTTGAACATGATATGATATGATGATGAAATGATTATTACTACTTATTACTATTACTATTACTATTACTACTACTACTACTTACTACTACTACTACTACTACTACTACTACTACTACTACTACTACTACTACTACTACTACTACTACTACTACTACTACTACTACTACTACTACTACTACTACTCCTACTCCTACTACTAATCTACCGCTTCTACTCAGGATGACGATAATAATAATGCTAATAATTTTATAAAGGAAACATCGTTTACTTACGTGTCTCCACAAACACTTTATACTGCCCGTTCAAGACGCCCATATCTTCACTCAACTCTCTATTCCTCCCCCCTCACGCCCGCAGACGGTGGAGGACCTCGAGGTTCGGTGCAAGGAGGCCGGCATCGAGATCGTGACCCGCCAGAGCTTCCTCTCGGACCCGACGGACGCCGTGCGGAACCTGAAGCGACAGGACGCCCGGATCATCGTCGGCCTCTTCTACGTGGTGGCCGCCCGGCGCGTCCTCTGCGAGATCTTCAAGAACAAGCTGTACGGCAAGAGCTACGTCTGGTTCTTCATCGGTAAGCGTGGTCTGGGAGGGAGGAGGGAGGGATAGGGAGGGGGGGAGGGGAGAGAGGAGGGAGGGGAGAGGGAGGATGGGAGGAGGGAGGGAGGGGGGAGGGAAGGGAGGAGGAGGAGGGTGGGAGGGGGTAGGAGGGCGAGAGTAAGGAAGGAAGGAAGAAGAAAGAAGGGAGGGAGGGAGGGGGTAGGGGAAGGGAAAGAGGAAGAGGGAGGGTGGTATGTAGAAATGGGGTAGGGAGGGGGGAGAGGGATAAACGGGTAGACGAATAAAAAGAAAAATTATTTATTCAGCAAGTGGATGCCTTGAGTATATAGCGAAGAATATATAGAAATAACAAGGTTCCTGTACAATGTGTAAGCTACAAAAAATAGACCCCAAGCCCCAATTAGAAAGGGAAAGAGGGGCACGTCACAGACCAGCGTCAGAAAGTCACTTCGACCCCCGCTTTCCACAGGTTGGTACGAGGACGGCTGGTACGAGCAGCACCTTCAGGAGGAGGAGCTGAACTGCACCCGCGAGGAGATGCGCCTGGCGGCCGAGGGGCACCTCACCACCGAGGCCCTGATGTGGAACAAGGACATGGAGAGGACGATCTCTGGCATGGTAGGGGCTGAACGCGCACACGCACACGCACACGCACACGCACACGCACACGCACACGCACACACATACACATATACACATACATACACACGCTCGCACATCAACTCATCCCCCAAACGCACGTACACCCTATATACCACACACACCTGTATCGACGTACATACATCTATGACACACACACACACACACACACACACACACACACACACACACACACACCACACACACACACACACACACACACACACACACACACACACACACACACACACACACACACACACACACACACACACACACACACACTCCTACCAGACCCCACGTTGGTTTCAGTCATTTATTGAAGAGATTTAAGGAATCAGATTCCCTTTTCATGCAAACTGGAAATTATTTTTGTGGTACTAAGAAACATGATTTTTAGAAAAAAAAAGAAAGAAAAGATTTTTTCTGTTCTCTTGTTCATGTGTGAAGTATTCTTCTTTTTCTGTTTGTTCATGTGTGAAGTATTCTTCCTTTTTCTGTTCACTTGTTCATGTGTGAAGTATTCTTCTTCCTTTTTATGTGTTCATCATTCATGTGTGAAGTATTCATGTTCCTTGTTCATGTGAAGTATTATTTTTCTGTTCACTTGTTCATGTGTGAAATATTCTTCCATTTTCTGTTCATTTGTTCATGTGTGAAGCATTCTTCTTTCCTTTTTCGGTTCCCTTGTTCATGTGTGAAGTATTCTTCTTCCATTTTCTGTTCACTTGTTCACGTGATCCTCGTGTTCTAGACCGTGGGAGACTTCCGGCGGAGGTTGAACCAGGCGCTCATCGACAACGGCCACAGGAACGGGAGCACGCCGGTGGGATACCAGGTACGGAGGGACTTTCTGATCTCATTCTTTTCTTGTTTTTTTCTTATTTCTTGCGTTTATTTTGTGTTTTTGTTGTTGTTATTTTCTCTTTTTTTCTTTTGATTAGAGTTGTCTTTTGTTATTCATTTCGAATTACTTTTCTTCTTCATCTACTATCTTTCTTCCTCGTTCTCCTGTATATTCTGATCGTCATGATTGCTGTCTCAACGCTTCGCTTCTTCTTTTTCCTTTTGGTTTTCTTTCTTCCTTTCTTTCGTTATTCTTCTTCTACTTCATTTTCTTTCCCCTTCGTTCTCCCATCCCTGACCTTCCCCCTTCTCTAATCCCGTTTTATTTTACTTCTCCTTCTACCTCCCTCCTCTTTCTCCCTTCACTCCTCCTTCCCATCTCTCATCACGTTCTCTCCCATCCCCTCTAACTCCTCTCCCCCTCCTTCTCCCCCCCCAGGAAGCCCCCCTGGCCTACGACGCCGTGTGGAGCGTGGCACTGGCACTCAACCGCACCATGGAGAGGCTGGCAGCGAGGAACATGTCGATCGAGGAATTCACGTACACGAACAAGGAGATCGCCGACGAACTCTACTCCGCCATGAACGCCACGCAGTTCCTTGGGGTTTCGGTGAGTTGGGTTGTGTTGTTGTTGTTTTTTTGTCTTTCTTTCGTTTTTTTTCGTTTTCGTTTTCGTATTCTGGTTCTTATCTTCTTCGTCTTCTTACACACAGGCACGTACGCACCCACTCCCCACACACGCAGTCATGAGCCACTTGAGTCTCCTTATCTTTCATACAGTCGACTAAAACGTGTAAAATTCATCGCAGAGAAGCTACAAGTACACTGTCCACTAACGTCAACTTGTCGTAAATTGTTCAGTTAATGTGAACATGTCATTTTTTTGTTAAGTTGGCGTCATTAGGACATAAATTGTTCAGTTGTTGTGAACTTGACGTAAATAGCTGAGCTGACGTGAACCTGACGTAAATTGTTCATTTGACGCGACCTTGACGTTAATTGTTCATGTGACGCGACCTTGACGTTAATTGTTTATGTGACGCGACTTGACGCGCAACCTTGCTGTTAATTGTCCATTTGACGCGACCTTGACGTTAACTGTTCATTTGACACGAACCGCTCAGCAGACGCGCCGTGACCCGCTCAGCCGACGACGCGACATCAACGCCAACCGAACCATCCGACGCAAACCACACCTAAATCCTCCCATTACTCCGCAGGGTCGGGTCGCCTTCAGCACCGACGGCGACCGCATAGCCTGGACACAAGTGGAACAGATGATCGACGGAAAGTACAAGATCCTCGGCTACTTCGACGGCCAGACCGATAACCTCACCTGGTACAATGTCGAGATCTGGGTTGGTAAGTGAGCCTCGAGGGAAGAAGGAGGTGGGAGAAGGAGAATAATGATGGTAATTATGGTGCTGATGAAGATAATGATGATGTTGGTAATGATGATATTGGTGTGAATATGGTGGTACTGCCGTTAGTAACTAATGGTAATGGTGAATGGCATAATGATAATGAGGTAGATGATAATGACAGTAATGGAAATGATATTGGTAATGATAAAACAATGAGGATAATAATATTAATGATAATGATAAAGATGATGATAGTAAAAATGATAATGATAAAGATGATGATAGTAAATGATAATGATGGTAATAATGATGATTAATAATGATAATAATAATGATACTGATGATAATGATAATGGCATAATAATATTGATAATAGTGATAATGATCATGATGATAATAACAATAATATCAATATTAATAATAACTATAATTGGTAATAATGATAGTAATAATAATAATGATCATGATAAAGATGATAATGATATGGTAATGATATTGACGAACATAGTAATGACGATAATGATAATACTTATAGTAATAATGGAAATAGTAATGATAATAACGAGAAAGATAACAATAATAACACTAACAGCAATAATGACAATAGCAACAACAGTAACAACAACAAAACAAAAACAAAAACAAAAAACAACAAAAACAAAACAACAACAAAAACAAAATAAAAACAACAAAAAACAAAACAACAAAAACAAAAACAAAACAAAAAACAAAAACAACAACAACAACAACAGTATCAAATACAACACCTGCAACGAAATACCCCGCACTGAAGGAGGGTCCCTCTCTCCTGCGCAGACGGCAAGGCGCCCCCCGACCGCACCATCGTCCGCCCGCAGCTGAGGACCGTGTCCCTGGGTCTCTTCATCAGCATGTGCACCATCAGCGCCGTGGGGGCCGTGTGGGCGCTGCTGCTGCTCGTCTTCACCTTCGTGTATCGGCACAGGCGGTAGGTCTTGAGGGTGGCTCAGTGGGTGGGATGGGGTTGTGTGGTGTGGGTGTGGGTGTGGTGTGGGTGGAGTGGGGGTGGGGGTTGTGGGGGTGTGGGTGTGTGTGGGGTTGTGTGTGTGGGTATGGGTGTGGGGGGTTGTGTGTGTGTGTGTGTGTGTTGTGTGTGTGTGTGTGTGTGTGTGTGTTGTGTGTGTGTGTGTGTGTGTGTGTGTGTGTGTGTGTGTGTGTGTGTGTATGCGCGCACATATTTGTACATATATACAAAAGAAATGGGAACTGAGAGAAGAAAACGAAGTATAAAATCAATCGAAAAAATATAAACAATAACAATAGTCCTCATACCAAAAGATAAAAAAAAATAAAAACATCCCAGCAGCGCAATCAACCCCCCTCCCCTTCCCCCTCCCCCCAGGCTGATCCAGATGTCCCACCGGCCTGCAACAACATCACCCTCGTGGGCATCATCCTGTGCCTGGGCTCCATCTTCCTGCTGGGCCTCGACGGGCAGTTCGTGAGCGAGCAGAAGTTCCCGAGCGTGTGCGGGCTGCGGGCGTGGTGCCTGTCCCTCGGCTTCACCCTCGCCTACGGGGCCATGTTCTCCAAGATCTGGCGGGTGCATCGCCTCACCACCAAGACCAAGACGGAGAACAAAGTAGGTGTTGTTCTTCTCGAAGGGGTCCCGGGGTGGGAGAACAGATTCGGTGATCGGTAGAGGTAGTTTTTTTTCTTTTTTTGGGGGGGGGGGGTCGAAGAGGGAAAGTCGTGGGGGAAAGATGTATTTTAGCAATAGAGATGACTGTGTGTTTCGACATGGCGAGTTCACGGATCTAACTTCATGTATGACGTTTGGAAAGAAGTGTTCAAAAAGTGTTCAAGTGTCCAGAAGAAAAGAAATATAGCGGATAGATTTCATTCAAGATTATTTTGAATAAATATGTATTAATTCAAATTTTAGATTAAACTTTGACTTGATTTTCTAACGTTATATAATTTTACTAGCAATGTTCTCAATTTGTTATGATACAAATACAATCGTGTTTGACCCAGTTATCTTTAAACGAGAAAATATATGTGATCTCGCAGCATCTAGGCCGAGCAGTAGCGACATGGATGAATCTCGACAATAATTAATCAGATTAAACAACGCATATCCACTGTAACTTTTAAGACGGTATGATCGCCCCCAGCTCTTGTTAAAGTACCGTTTCCTAAGGATTTCATGTCCTTGGAGAGTTCCCACTAAGCCTTATCCACCCCATCCACATGACCTTTCCCCTCCCCCATTCAACACCTCATCCACATGACCTAAAAGCTCCCCCATGCATCTCGTCCACATACATGACCTTTTCGCTTCCCCATGTAACACCTCATTCACATACCGCAAAGGTCCTCCATTTAAACCTCATCCACATTACCCTTCGCTCCCCCCTTCATCTCATCCACGTGACTTCAACGCTCTACCATCCATCTCATCCACATGACCTTTTCGCTTCCCTATTCAATACCTCATTCACATACCTCAAAGGTTCCCTCATTTAGCATCTCCTCCACATGACTTCAAAATACCCCATTCACCTCATCCACATGGCTCATCGCTCCCCCATTCAACACCTCATCCACCTGAATTCAAAGTTCCCCCCACATACACCTCATCCACCTAAGCTCTTCCCTCCCTTATTCTTCACATCCACTCCACCTCCCAACCTTGCCAGCACCCCCCACTAGCCCACAAACCCCTCCCCGTCAAGCCCACCCGTCCCATCCACCCTTATCCACCCTTATCCACTTCTCCATGTAACCTTATCTCTCACCCCCCCTCCCGCCTAGCCCACCCGTCCCATCCACCCTTCCAAACCCACCCTTATCCACTTCTCCATGTAACCTTATCGCTCACACCCTCCCCCCCCCGCCAAGCCCACCTTTCCATCCACCCCTATCCACCCTTATCCACTTCTCCATGTAACCTTATCGCTCCCCCCCCTCCCCCCCCCGCCAAGCCCACCCTTCCCATCCACCCTTATCCAGCTTATCCACTTCTCCATGTAACCTTATCACTCACACCCCCTCCCCCCCCCCGCCAAGCCCACCCTTCCCATCCACCCCTATCCAGCCTTATCCACTTCTCCATGTAACCTTATCGCTCACCCCTCCCCCCCGCCAAGCCCACCCCTCCCATCCACCCTTATCCAGCCTTATCCACTTCACCATGTAACCTTATCGCTTCCCCGTGCATTCTTTTTTTTACGAAGTTCTCCAAGATTTGGCGGGGCCACAAGTTCACCAGGAGGAGACATCAGCCGGTTCAGGTACACCATTCTTCCCTTTCTGCGGTCGAGACTCCTTTTGTTCACGCCCCTTTCGCCCGTTCTCCTGTCTCTCCTTCGCTTCTCTCGTTTTTACCTCTTCCCCCGTTCTCTTTCTCATTCTTGGGTTTTTCATTTTTTTTCTTTCTTTCTCACTCTTTTCTTCTCTCGTTTTACCTCTTCCCCCCGTTCTCTTTCTCATTCTTGCGTCTTTCATTTTTTTTTCTTTCTCGGTTTTTTTCTTTGTTCCCCGTGTTCTCTTTCTCATTCGTGCGTCTTTTATTTTTCTCCTTTCTTCGCTCTTTCCTTCTCTCGTTCTCCCTTCCTCCCATTCTCCCGTCCGTCCTTCTCTATATTCTCTCCTTCTCTCGTTCGCCCATTCTCTTTCTCACTCTAACGTTTTTCATTCTTCTTCTTCCCTTTCTCCCGCCCGTCCTTCTCTCAATGTTCCTCTTCTCTCGTTCGCCTTTCCTCTCATTCTCTCCCCTCCCGTCTCTCGCCTCGCCTCTCTCCTGTTGTTGTATCTTGTATTTGGCCAAATGTTTCCATGTTTCCCTCTTTTACGTATCCTTTTCCTGTTTAGGATCTTCAAGGTGTCTCTCTATACATTCATTTTTGTCAACGTCTCTGTTTCTGTCTCTCTGTTTCTCTCTCTGTGTCTCTGTCTCTCTTTCTCTTTCTCTTTTCTCTTCTCTTCTTTCTCTTTCTCTTCTCTCTTTCTCTTTCTCTTTCTCTTTCTCTTTCTCTTTCTCTTTCTCTTTCTCTTTCTCTTTCTCTTTCTCTTTCTCTTTCTCTTTCTCTTTTCTCTCTCTCTCTCTCTCTCTCTCTCTCTCTCTCTCTCTCTCTCTCTCTCTCTCTCTCTCTCTCTCTCTCTCTCTCTCTCTCTCTCTCTCTGTGACTGAAATAAGGGAGACATTAGTATGTAAAATTGCTTGAAGCTTCTTATAAAAAGTTGCGCGCCATTATCACCCCGATTCCATTTTCTTGTAATTTGATGGAAAGCGTGAACAGTGATTTTGCACCACCCAACACAGTGGTTTGCCAGACGCACACACCCTCTTTCACTCTGCGCACATGGACACAGACGCACACCAATGCGCACACACACAGACATGAATATACACAGACGCACACATAAACATACACATAGACGCAGACACACACACACGCATACATAAACATACACACAGACGTACACATACACACAGACGCAGACACAAACACACAGACGCAGACACACACACACACACAGACGCAGACACACACACACACAGACGCAGACACACACACACACACACAGACGCAGACACACACACATAGACACACACAGACACACACACATAGACACACACACAAGACACACACACATAGACACACACAGACACACACAGACACACACACACACACACACACACACACACACACACACACACACACACACACACACACACACACACACACACACACACACACACACACACACACATACACACACACACACGCACACACACGTGCGCGCGCGCGCGCGAACGTAATCACATAAGCACTGCCTTACACATTCTGTAAGCCCAAAAAATTTAAATCTTGTTGATAAACATTCCAACTTGCTTTCATTTGTGTTAATAATTAGAAAGTTGCACTAAAATCCCTCTTTTGTAAAAATATGTTTTCCCATTGATAGAAAGCCATAATGGTATTGATAATAGACTTAACACAGTAGCATTGAAGTGTATACGAAAACCTTTTAAAAGAGTTTGAAATATCTGTAAAGTGTAAAGACTGCAAGATTTCTGCGTGGCCGCGGGGTTAAGACCAGCAGTAAGTTTGGTCATATATATATATATATATATATATATATATATATATATATATATATATATATATATATATATATATATATATATATATATATATACTTTTTAAGAACACGTGAATTTATTTGCACTATTGTTGTTATTGTTTTGGTTGTAGTTATTATTATTATTGTTTATTATTATTATATTTGTTATTATTATTGTTATTGTTATTATTATTATTGTTAGTGTTATATTTTATGTTGTCATTATTATTATATTATTATTATTATTATTATTATTATTATTATTATTATTATATTATTATCATTGTTATTATCATTATCGTTATATTATTATTCATTTCATATTCTGATTGGAATTATCATTATTGTTTTTATCTTAATTATGATTATTGTACTTATCTTTATTATTATTATTTATCGTCATTATCATGATCAGTGACATCATCATTGTTATTATTACTGTTATTGTTATCACTATTTGAATTATCATAATCATTAAGATTGTCATTATTTTTACAATAATTATGATTATGATTATTATTATTATCATTATCATTATCGTTATTATTGTTATTATTATTATTATTATTATTATTATTATTGTTATTATTATATTCAGCTACCATTATTATCATCATTAACCTTATTATATTTAATTATTTTTCTTTATCTTTATTACCATCATCGTCATAATCTTTATCAATGTTACTTGTATTATTGTTTTTATTATTATTATCATTAATATTATTTTTTTTATTATTATTGTTATCATTATTATTATTATTATTATTATTATTATTATTATTATTATTATTATTATTATTATTATTATTATTATTATATTATTATATTGTTATTATTATTATTATCATTATTATTATTATTGTTATTATTATTATTATTGTTATTATTATTATTATCATTATTATTATTATTATTGTTACTATTTTTATTATTATTATTATTATCTTTGTTTTTTTATCACCATTTTCATCATTATTTTATCATAATTTCATCATTGATATTGTAAATATTTATTGTTATTGTTGTAGTTATAATCACATCATCTTGAACAGCAGTGCCATCATCATCATTTTTGTCGTCTCTATAATTATTATTACTGTTGCAGCTGTACTACTACTTCTCTTACTATCATTATCCTCATATTCATAATGATAGAGAGCTTCATTATCATTAATGTTACGGAATGTTTCACTCAGGATTAAAAAAAAAAGTAAAAATGCATTCACTTTTGACCTGAATGTGCTTGAGAAACGGCACTTAAAAATTGAATAAAACGCACATTTTCAAAACACGTGAGACTTGTGTGTGAGAGCACTTTTTTCGGCACTTTTTCATGAAGGAGATAATGCACTTGTTGCAGCTTTACTGACTTTGCAAATATTTATAGGAAAAATAGTTATATATAATGCTAGCACAAATAATAACCCAATATTGCATGTTGTGAATGAAAACCATGTAGATAGTAAATTTATTTGTTTTTTTTGTCCAAATGGTATCGTTTAGAAATTCACTGTTGAACAGTTTTTTTCGTAAATTTTAGATGTACAGATCCATTTGTATTGATATATATGTAGGAATTCTCTTCTTTCTCCATTGGAAAATAAGATAATCTTTTGATATAGGTAGAGACTCGGAATTTTCAAAAAATGATTTTAATGTAGTGTAAAATATGGGTTAGATTGTGTAATTTTGGCTTCAGAATCCATAAATAATTTATGGTTAAAGAAAATAAAGTTTAGTTTTATAACAGATGGCTTGTAGTAATTTGATTAGCTATACTATCTGAAAGTACTAATACTTATATAATATATTTGATTTCATTAAAAAATAACAGGTGAAAATTATATACCTATATTTCCAAGTTTTAGCATTTTCTGTGACACTCTAAAGCTGTGACTTATATTCAGAAAATGCAACGTTAATTCGCTCTTATATTTATCCCCCTGAAGAAGGTGGTCCATAATTTTCAATGTCTCTATAGATTAAAAAAAAATCTTAGTTTATTACGTGCATTTAGAGAGTAAGTCAGTTGCACAAGTTACTCTGTTCCACTGTTGGTAGGAGCAAAAAACAGCTTTTAGATTCGTATAAGAGAAAGAAAGAATCGAATCGTTTTTGTTAATTAAAAGTTATGTCAAATGGGGTTAAATTCCCTTTGTTGGACATCTTAAGGTATTTCTTACGGAATTTTGTGGCAGATATTAATTTATTAATTTATGGTGTATCATAGATGTTTTTTTTTTTCTTTTTAATTTCTCATTAAATATGTAACTCAGATATTGGGTTTCTAAATATGTAACAAAATTCATTAATGTGTATGTTTGTATAAATAGTGATAAGATGCTTAATTAGTCAGACAGATAATAATAATCACTCAAATGCCATATTAGATATATTAAGAAAGGCAAATGAAACGCTAGAGGAAATGATTGAACTGATTATTGGAATAGTTGTTTGCTACGAAAAAGGGCAGCAAATTCAAATTTTATAAAGTTTAGTAAGAGGAGTTAGTGATCTTTTTATACATATAATTAATGTAATTTCCGTTCTCGTTTTATTTATATTAGTGATATCACACAGAGACATTCCTCCTTCACTCCCAACACCCGATAACTCCCTCCAAAACCTTCCCTTTCGCCCTCCTCCTCCAGGTCCTCCCACTCCCAAACGCACTCCCCCAATCCCTTCGCCTCACAGAAGCGGACCCTTGCTAACACCCCTCTCCTTTCTTGACCGCCAGCGAGTGGAGCCCTGGAAGCTCTACGTGATGGTGGGGAGCTTCGTGGTCGTCGACGTGATCGTGCTGGGCGTGTGGCAGGGCGTCGACCCCCAGCAGAGGACGCTCGAGGTCTTCCCGCTGGAGGTTCCCCGTGACACCGTCGAGGACATCAAGATCAAGCCGGAACTGGAACACTGTGAGAGCCATCACAACACCATCTGGCTGGGTGAGGAGGGCGCTTGTGTTTTGTTTTTGTTTTTCTCATTCTTTGGTCTATTTTTTTTCTTTTTTTTTTTTACTGATTTATTTATTCATTTCTTTATTTATTCATCTAGTTACAATTATCGTTGCAGGAGAAAGATCTGTTGAAATATCTTTAACCACAACATTGTGATTGAGTTTAAGAGTTTAGCTTCATCTTGAATCTTCCACATAAATAAATCAGATTACTTATGTTTTGACTATCATGCGACTAAATAAAAAAAAATAACAACCTGCCCATTTCTCCCAAGGTCTGCTCTACAGCTACAAGGGGCTACTGCTCATCTTCGGCCTCTTCTTGGCTTACGAGACTCGAAGTGTTAAGCTGAAGCAGATTAACGATTCTAGACTGGTATGTTGAAATGATATATATACAGATAGATAGATACATACTACATACATATACACATACATACATACGTACATACCTACATACATATATATATTTACATAGAGAGAGAGAGAGAGAGAGAGAGAGAGAGAGAGAGAGAGAGAGAGAGAGAGAGAGAGAGAGAGAGAGAGAAGAATAGTAACTGTAAGAGAGAAAAATTATAATAACAGTACTTAAACTTACGATATCACTTATGAAACCAACACCACCAACAGAAACAACAACTACAAACGCAACCACCCCGACGACACACAAGAACAACAAAACCCACACAGCGCAACACAAAACAACCCCGTTTACGAGTACCTCCCTGTCTCTCTCCCCCATACCCACGTCCCTGTCACTACCCTCCTACCCACTCCCCCGGCAGGTGGGCATGAGCATCTACAACGTCGTGGTGCTGTGCCTGATCACCGCCCCCGTCACCCTGGTCATCTCCTCGCAGCAAGACGCCGCCTTTGCCTTCGTGTCCTTGGCCATCATCTTCTGCTGCTTCCTGTCCATGGCTCTCGTCTTCGTGCCCAAGGTGAGTGGGCGGGGCGAGCGTGGGGTATTTTGGGGGGCTTTTTTCTCTTTGTTTTGTTTTTGTTGTTGTTTTTGTTATTGTTTGTTGTGTTTGTTATTATTATTGTTGATTTCTATTGTTTTAATTATTTTTTTGTTATTGTTTTTGTTGTTTTTTGTATTGTTATTGATAGACTTATATTTTCCTTTTTTTGAGGTAGAGTATTTGGGTTGTGTTGTGTCTTCTGCGAGATATTTGGATAAATACTACTGGCAAATATGATGATAATGATAACGATGATATTAGTGTTAATAAAACAGTCGCCTCGCAGATCGTCGAAGTCATGAGGCACGTGGAGCGAGCCGAGTCGACGGTCGACGGCGCGCCCAGCAAGGAGGAGGAGGAACGCTACCAGAAGCTTCTGCGGGAGAACGAGGAGATGCAGAGGATCATCTCCGAGGTGAGAGGGATTCCGATCCTCTTGTAGGGGGTTCGGCAAAGGGATTTGAGGTATAAGGGATTAGTTTAGGTGACATCCTCGGTGTGGTGAGAGTGAGAAAGAGAGACGAGAGATGAGAGAAGTGAGAGAAAGAGAGACGAGAGATGAGAGAAGTGAGAGAAAGAGAGACGAGAGATGAGAGAAGTGAGAGACGAGAGATGAGAGATGAGAGAAAGCGAGACGAGAGATAAGAGTGAGAGAAGTGAGAGACGAGAGAAGAGCAGGAAAAGAGAGTAGATGTGATAGAAGTGGGAATTAAAAGCATAAAAAAGAGAAAAAGAGTCCATTTGCAAGCCAGATCACCTCGAAAATATAGATATATCAATCAATGCGAAAACGCACGCAAAAAAAAGAAAAAGAAAAAACAAATAATAATAAACAATAATAATCATCAACACACACACAAAAAAAAAAGATAATAATAATAATAAATAATAATAATAATAATCACCAAACTTTTGTCCTCGCCCGCAGAAGGAGGAGAAGATCCGGCTCCTGAAACTGAAGCTGCAGGAGCGGGCCGCCATCAGGAGCCGGGAGCAGCAGGCGGCGGAGAACCACGTGACCGCCGTGGACGCCACCCAGCAGATGCGCCTCCGACAAGGTTGACCTCGGGGGATTTCCCTTCGTTTCTGACCAATTATTTTTGTTTTCTGAACTTTTTATGATCGTTTCCCCCTTTTTTTCATTATTTTATGATCAATTATTTTTGTTTTCTGTTCAATTATTTTTGTTCTCTGAACTTTTTTATGATCATTTTTTTCTTGTTTTCTGAACTTTTTTTTATAATATTTTCCTTTTTTTTTTATTATTTTCTGATCATTTTTTTTGTTTTGTTTTGTTTTCTGATCATTTTTTTGTTTTCTGATTTTTTTTATGATCCTTTCCCCTTTTGATCATTTTCTTTTGTTTTCTGATCATTTTCTGACCAATTCTTTTTGTTTTCTGAATAATTTCTTTTATTTTTTTGTGTTATGATTTTTTAGAATTTGACTTCTTTCATTTGCTATTGTTTTCTTTCGTTTGTTGTTATTTTTTCTTTCATCTTTATCACGTTTTTTAAAATAAATTTTTGTTATAAATTTTATTTTTTTCACAACCTGGTATTATTATTGTTATTATTTCATTACTATTACTATTCTATGAATGGAGATATTTGTCTGTGGCAGGTCGAATATATATGTATTTCTGTGTGTCTAGTTGCAATTTTTAAAAATCATTTTCTTTCACTGGTGTGTATATGTATGCCTGTCCGTGTGTGTATCTGTGTACGTACCTCATGTATGCTTAAGAACAAGAAACACAAAATATTAGGAAGAATAAGTTGTGCACAGTAATTCACATGTTGTTGTTGTTTTGCTGTTGGTTTGCAGTGTTTGTGTGAATCTGCTGTCAAACATTTGCAATTGTGAGGCATATGCAGTTGTTTGGCATTTCGATTGTCAGGTATTTGCAGCTGTAAAACATTTACAATTGTAAGCCATTTGTAGGTATGTAGACATTTGAATACTTAACTTTCACCAAACAGTTATTGGTGCAAACGGAACCACACTGTTCTATGTTTATTTCGTAGCTAGACACCGCCCCTCTCGCTGGGAAGGAATCCCTTCTCCCCCATGCCTCCCCTTCCCCATTCACCCCCTCCTTTCCCCAACTACACCCTCCACTCAACCATTCTCCTCTCCCAACCCTCTCCCCTCCCCAGCTACACCTCTCCAACCCCTCCCTCCCCTCCCCACCCCTCTCCCTCCCCACCCCTCCCTCCCCAACCCCTCCCCTCCGCCGCACTTTCCACATGTTCTTGTCCCTTTTTTCCTCAGATCCTCCTGAGTCAAACAAAGACACAGAGCCATTATTTAGCGCGGACATAGAGCTGTATTGTAGTAGTAAGTAACAGGGAAATTCGACCATCACGTTTTCGCAGCTCGATCTTCACTACAAATACTTATTAATAGACACACACGTACATGCATGAACTACTGTTAGTTGGGATATGGTCCTCCTGCACATTCATTTGTTTGCTAAAGAAGGGGAATCCAGTACTATATAGCAGATGCTTTCCGCTCTGCACTTTGCACTGCCTAGTATTATACTAATCCAATACCTCTTGCATATAATCCACATATATATCAATGCGTATTGCGTATACACACAAATCTATATACATATAAATGTAAATTGCATACCTATAACGAGAAAACCTTAAACTGCCTTCTCTAGTAACAAACGGCTGTTATTGAGCACATATTTGGCACCAAAACCGAATCCCTAGAATTATCACGATTTCCTTACCATGACGTCTCACTTTTCCGGTCCAGTTGCTTCATGGCTTCGTTATATAAGGTGACCAGGCACCGCTGTTCGCTGATGCGCGGCGTTTAATACGTGGGACCAAATACTCATTGTCTGAAGTGAATTTCGATGTGTAGTTGTATGTTAGATGCTTTGTGATATGTTACACTAACCTCTAAGCCTCGGTAAGCTTAGCGCACATATGCACTCGAAACTTGTTACAGGAAATGCAAGGTACACTTTATGACTGTCACTGCATTTCTTCGTGATATTGCTTAATGTTCAAGTCTACTTTAGTACATTTATTTCTGTAGTTATTATTCTTATCACTGTTGGTAATGTGATCAGATTATTATTATAATCATAATGATTGCTAATGGTATCATTATTGTTTGTATCCTCTTTTAGGCCATTATGATTATAATTAGCTGCATATGATACGTAAATAAAGTCCTTTGCTCCCCCCACAGGTGGCCGTCCTGCAGTGCGAATAGTGACTCCCGAAGGCCCTGGCGCCGACGAAAGTATGGTGCCCAGGATCAACTTCGATATCTCCGAGTCCTACTTGTGAAGAGGCGCCGCCGGGGACTGATCTGGGACCCACTTCGAGGAGGCTTCACGCTTGGCTGTCGGCGCCAAGAGATGTCCCCTCGTGAAGCTGTGGTGTCCGAGTGTTCGCGAAGCCGTTGTGACGCAGAGGGTCTTGCTTTCCTTGGGTGTTGGTTCGAATCGAGCTTCAGTTCGAGTTGGGATTTGGCCGAAGGCGAGGTGGCCTGCGCAGCATAAACCCTGGGGAAGGAGTTCCGATTTGCTCACAATATGGAGTTCCCCATATCGATGCCCACCGGAGATTTCATGGTAACATCAAGGCAGATGCCAAAACTTGGCTCCATTTCGGTGCCAGTTCGAATTTTCGCCTATTCCTTCAATGGTGATAGTGTAGGAGGTGTCACATGTACCACGGCGGCCCTATGACGTTGCCATATCCCGAACTCACCATCGTCCCCACGTCAGCAATTGCACGAGTCAGACTTGATCCGAAGCTGATAGCGAGCTGGTTCTCCCGATGGATTTCCTTTCTGCTCAGGATCTTCGGCACCAGGGCTCGTGATCTGACTCTCTGCTGCCTCCACACGAGCAGTCCTTGTGGTTGCGGCGGAGAGTTGTGCTGGAGTCCCGTTTCAAGGTCTGACGTCATGTAAGAGGCATCAGACTGGTACCTGCTTAATGATTGCTGAAATAATGCTGCACAAAGACCCATGAAGCGCCCTCTTGGGAACAGGTACCCGAGTGATGCCGCGGGAAAGACCTTGAGGCAAATCCACAGTGCGACCAAATGTGGACATGTTTCGGTGTCCATTTGGTTTGTGTTGGATGTCCAGGATATTGCCTCTGCCCACAACTGCCGCGACCATGATCGGCGATCAACCATATAAATAAAAAGTTTCCATAACAGTACTCTTTAAAAAAAGTAAAAAAAAAAAGAAAGAAAGACAACACAGGAAATACACATACAAAACAAACACCATACATACGATAGAAATAACATGGACATGCATCCACAATCAGTTAGGGTTTATAACTTGTCCCAGGCTGTGCACATCGTTCCACATCTACTTTGGAATAATAAGAGGAAGATACGTAGCCATCACACAGCCCGTCGCGAATCAGCTGATGCTGTCAAGCCATCACAAAGCAACCTCTTCGTTGATCCCAAGATAATGTCAGAATCGGAGGAATAACGCCATTCTTTTTGAGAGTTCAGCATTTTATAGTAGGGAGAAAATTGTGTTATATATTCATAATCAAGCTTGGTGGAGGAGAGCAGTGGAAAATTACATTTAATGCATGTGTATTAAAAGAATTGTGGTTTGCATCTCACACACACACACACACACACACACACACACACACACACACACACACACACACACACACACACACACACACACACACACACACACACACACACACACACACACACACACACACACACACACACACACACACACACACACACACACACACACACACACGAATAAACAAATTGACATAAAACTAAACATATAAATGTATAAACAAACATTTTATAACTGAAAAGTAGTTCCATTTTCTTTTGTTATGGATTATTGTGATTATGATTATAACCTGCACAAAAAACGAAAAACGAAAACCCTAATTTAGTTTTTAAGAACTTATATTCATTTCATCAAATATGGAGTTAGATCTACCTTATTTTTATTTTGAAATGTCTTCCTTTTGTCATTATTATTATCATTTCGTGAACTAGAATATGATAGTATAAAAAAAACATTATAGCTAGATTGAAATAATAGAATGAATTAGAATATCCAGAATTACGATATATTTATAAACTCGTGTAATATAAAACCTTCCCAAAGACTGAATTGAGATTATGACGCAAAGACTTCTCACTCGCACACGACCAGAGACCCGGAGATCAGCTGACCTGTACGACTCTACGAATTCCCTTAATGAACTTGACACGAGTTCTCCTTGGCATATGACATCAGGTGCCTCGTGATCTTGGAAGACATGACAATCTGCTTCTCGAAGTCGATGTTTCCCCGTGACCTGTTTGCCCCGTTGTGACTTTCCCTGTGACCTGTTGTGACCAGTCTGAGGCGATAGGACCTACCAGATCTCTTCGAACTACCTATAAGGGATAAGGGAAATGTACCTTGGCTAGTTTGTGACTCCTGGAAAATAGTTATTCCCTGAATCTAGTCGCACCTGAACCATTTATTTTCCAGATATATTAACATGATAGGGAATTGCAGCTGTCATGATTCACCTCACGGAGAAATTGTGATGGAATTATCAGAGAAGAGGGCATGCGCAATGTTGCTTTCAGTAATCTTGCGTCCAAACTAAAGCTTTCGAACCGACCACTGCAACATAACCACCATTAAACCAACGTGAAATGTGACAAAATACGGTTAAAACATACACAAGAGACGTAATGACCTAACCAAGCTCTACGACGACCAACTAAGCACTTATCTTTATAACGATGACCTGTCCTCATAATCTATACCAGGATTTATACAAGAGGTCTCTGTACTGTGCGCTCCTGTGTTAGGAGTCTTGCCTCACCTAAACAAAGTACGACAATAAAAATACCGAAAACGAAACCGGTTTTTCATTCACACGTTTTTTTATTTTAGCAACGTCCGCCATTCAGCTGACTTCTATTTTTGTGAATATCTTTTCAGAAAATAATTATTTATTGGTCATTACACAACACATTACTTATCGCAAAATAAGTTTCCGATCGGGATTCGAACCCTCGCCGCCGTTGCAGGCAGGTAACTGTAAAAAGAATACTCTACTACTGAGCAGTTACCTGCCTGTAACCATGACGAGGGTTCGAATCCCGATCGGAGAGGTTATTTATTCATCTTACACACACACACATATATAAAGAGAGAGAGAGTTAGAGCTAGAGCAAAAATAAAAGCAAATATACAAATTGATAGAGTGAGAGTAAGTGTGAGAGATAAATAGAGAGAAAGTGAGTGAGGAGTGAGAGTGAGAGAGAGAGAGAGAGAGAGAGAGAGAGAGAGAGAAGAGAGAGAGAGAGAGAGAGAGAGAGAGAGAGAGAGAGAGAGAGAGAGAGAGAGAGAGAGAGACAGAGACAGAGACAGAGACAGAGAGAGAGAGAGAGAGAGAGAGACAGAGAGAGAGAGAGAGAAAGAGAGAGAGAGAGAGAGAGACAGAGACAGACAGACAGACAGAGATGTATGTATGTATACATGTGTACATATATATATATATATATTATATATAAATATATATATATATATATATATATATTATATATATATATATATATATATATATAATAATATATATATATATATTATATGAACTTTTTTATAATAATTTCCTTTTTATTATTTTCTGATTTTTTTTTTTTTGTTGTTTCTGATCAATTCTTTTTGTTTTCTGAACTTCTTTATAATCATTTCCTTATTTTTATTATTTTCTGATTAATTCTTTTTGTTTTCTGATCATTTTTTTCTTGTTTTCTGAACTTTTTTTATTATCATTTCCTTTTTTATTTCCTGATCAATTCTTTTTGTTTTCTGAATTTCTTTTTTGTTCTTTTTGTTTTCTGAATTTCTTTTTTGTTCTTTTGTGTTATGATTTTTTAAAATTTGTCTTTCATCAGCTATTGTTTTTTGTTCGTTGTTATATTTTTCGTCTTTATCACGATTTTTTTTAGCTTAGTTTTTCTAACACTTATCAATTATTTTTTCACAACCTGGTATTATTATTATTTTCTCATTATTACTGCTATTCTATGAACGGAAATATATTTTCGGGTGTATATGTATGTCTGTGTGTCTAGTTGCAATGTTTTTATTTTAATTTTCTTTCACTGGTGTGTATATGTATGCCTGTGTATCTGTGTACGTACCTTATGTATGCTTAAGAACAAGAAGCACAGAATATTAGGAAGAATAAGTTGTGCACAGTAATTCACATGTTGTTGTTGTTTTGCTGTTGGTTTGCAGTGTTTGTGTGAATCTGCTGTCAAACATTTGCAATTGTGAGGCATATGCAGTTGTTTGGGCATTTCGATTGTCAGGTATTTGCAGCTGTAAAACATTTACAATTGTAAGCCATTTGTAGGTATGTAGACATTTGAATACTTAACCTTCACCAAACAGTTATTGGTGCAAACGGAACCACACTGTTCTATTTTTATTTCGTAGCTAGACACCGCCCCTCTCGCTGGGAAGGAATCCCTTCTCCCCCATGCTCCCTTCCCCATTCACCCCCTCCTTTCCCCCAACCACTACCTCCCCTCCCCAAACCACTCCTTTCCCCAACTATACCTCTCCAACCTCTCCCTTCCCTAACCATTCTCCTCTCCCAACCCCTCACACCCCCAACCACTCCCTCCCCAGCTCACCTCTCCAACCCCTCCTCCCCTCCCCTCCCCCAGCTACACCTCTCCACCCTCCCTCCCTACCCACACCCCGCCCCAACCCCTCCCCTCTCCGCCGCACTTTCCACATGTTCTTGTCCCTTTTTTCCTCAGATCCTCCTGAGTCAAACAAAGACACAGAGCCATTATTTAGCGCGGACATAGAGCTGTATTGTAGTAGTAAGTAACTGGTAAATTCGACCATCACGTTTTCGCAGCTCGATCTTCACTACAAATACTTATTAATAGACACACACGTACATGCATGAACTACTGTTAGTTGGGATATGGTCCTACTGCACATTTATTTGTTTGCTAAAGAAGGGGAATCCAGTACTATATAGCAGATGCTTTCCGCTCTGCACTTTGCACTGCCTACTATTATACTAATCTAATACCTCTTGCATATAATATATCAATGCGTATTGCGTATGCACACACATCTATTTACATATAAATGTAAATTTCATACCTACAACCTGAAAACCTAAAATTGTCTTCTCTAGTAACAAACGGCTGTTATTGAGCACATATTTGGCACCAAAACCGAATCCCTAGAATTATCACGATTTCCTTACCATGACGTCTCACTTTTCCGGTCCAGTTGCTTCATGGCTTCGTTATATAAGGTGACCAGGCAACGCTGTTCGCTGATGTGCGGCGTTTAATACGTGGGACCAAATACTCATTGTCTGAAGTGAATTAGGATGTGTAGTTGTATGTTAGATGCTTTGTGATATGTAACACTAGCCACTCCGGAAGGCCTCGGGGAGCTTAGCGCACATATGCACTCGAAACTTGTTACAGGAAATGCAAGTTACACCTTGTGACTGT